CAGACAGAGTGTGTGTGTGTGTGTGTGTGTGTGTGTGCGCGCGCGCGTGGAGAGAGTGTGTGTGTGTGCGCGTGGAGAGAGAGTGTGTGTGTCTGTGTGTGGAGAGAGAGAGCGTGTGTATGTGGAGAGAGATTGTGTGTGTGTGTGGAGAGAGAAAGAGTGTGTGTGTGTGGAGAGAGAGTGTGAGTGTGTGTGGAGAGAGAGTGAGTGTGTGTGTGTGTGGAGAGAGAGAGTGTGTGTGTGTGTGTGTGGAGAAAGTGTGTGTGTGTGGAGAGTGTGTGTGTGTGTGTTTGTGTGTGGAGAGAGAGAGAGTGTGTGTTTGTGTGTGGAGAGAGAGAGAGTGTGTGTTTGTGTGTGGAGAGAGAGTGTGTGTGTGTGTGTGTGTGTGTGTGTGTGGAGAGAGAGAGTGTGTGTGTGTGTGTGTAGAGAGAGTGTGTGTGTGTGTGGAGAGAGAGAGTGTGTGTTTGTGTGTGGAGAGAGAGCGTGTGTGTGTGTGTGTGTGTGTGTGGAGACAGAGAGTGTGTGTGTGTGTGGAGAGAGAGAGTGTGCGTGTGTGGAGGGAGAGTGCATGTGTGGAGAGAGAGTGCGTGTGTGGAGAGAGTGCGTGTTTGTGTGTGGAGAGAGAGAGTGCGTGTTTGTGTGTGGAGCGAGAGAGAGAGTGTGTGTGTGGAGAGCGAGACAGAGTGTGTGTGGAGAGAGAGAATGTGTTTGTGTGTGTGGAGAGAGAGTGTGTGTGTGTGTGTGTGGAGAGAGAGAGTGTGTGTGTATGTGTGTGTGAGAGAGAGAGTGTGTGTTTGTGTGTGGAGAGAGTGTGTGTTTGTGTGTGTGTGTGGAGAGAGAGAGAGTGTGTGTGTGTGTGTGTGTGTGTGTGTGTGTGTGTGGAGAGAGAGAGTGTGTGTGTGGAGAGAGAGAGAGTGTGTGTGTGTGTGTGTGTGTGTGTGTGTGTGTGTGTGTGGAGAGAGAAAGAGTGTGTGTGTGTGGGGGGAGAGAGAGAGAGAGTGTGTGTGTGCGTTGTGGGGTGGGGTGGAGGTTTGTTGGGGGAGGTGGAGACACTTCAGCAGTCAAGGACATTCAGCCTCAGAACTTTCGGTAAGTGTCCTCCAAGGTGGACTTTGGGATACACAACAACGCAGAGTCGCCGAATAGAGGCTGATAGCCAAGTTCGGTCCCCATGAGGACAACTTCAACCAGGATCTTAGGTTCATGTCGCACTGCAGGTGACCCCACCACACTGTATACACACACACACACATACACACACACACGAACAAATGAAAAAGTACAGCACAGGAACAGGCCTTTCGGCCCTGTGCCGACCATCATGCCCTAATTCATGTAAAAACAAACCTGCCATTTTTCGAACCGTATCCCTCCCTATTCATGTACCCGGCTAGGTGCCTCTTAATTGTCTTCAGTGTTACTGCTTCCACCACCTCCTCTGGTAGTGCTTTTCAGGCTGCTACCACTCTCTGTGTGAAAAACATCCCTCACACATCTCTCTTAAAATTTCCCCCTCTGACCTTGAACCTGTGCTCCCTTGTAATTGAAACTTCAACCCTGGGAAAAAACCTCTGACTACCCACCTTTTCGATGCCTCTCATAATTCTGTAGACCTCTGTCTCTCCACACACATACGCACACACTCTCTCTCCACGCAAACACTCTCTCTCCGCACACATACGCACACACTCTCTCTCCACGCAAACACTCTCTCCACACACATGCACACACTCTCTCTCCACGCACACACACGCGCGCGCACACACACACACACACACACAGAGACGAATCTATGGGGTGAAATTGTATTTTGTTCAAAAAGCATACAATTTATAGACAATCAGTCAATATGGTGTTTTATAAATTCCTACTTTGGAAATAAAACCAATCTGACTCCAAACCAAAACACTAACAGATTCTAAACAAGGCCTCTCACCTAACATGCATTGCCTGACCTAAAATGTCACCTCTTCCTTACACTGATAAAACCTTTAGTTCTCTCAGGGCAGTGACTTGAAAGGAATTTGGGAATTTACATATACATATTAATCAATTAAAACCTTCCAACTGATTAAAGATTTAACAGCATCTTAGGTTTGTTTAATACATCCTCATCAGTTGTGTGACTCTTTGATCTTATAAATTCTGTGTTCTGTGTGCTTCTTTCTCACTTCACCTAAGAGACTATGTTCCAAAAGCTGTGTTTTCAAATAAACCTGTTGGACTATAATCTGATGTCATGTGATTTCTTGAATGTAAGAAGTGTACTGATACAATGATAGTAATAGGGGATTTTAACAACCCAGATATTAATAAAGTGTGCAACATAAGGAGAGAGCAAAATTCTTAAGTTACATCCAGGAGGACTTTTCTTTAGCCAGTACATGGAAAACCCACAGGGGAGGGGCAGTCCTGGATCTAATATTTGGAGATGAGCCTGGACAGATGGATATGCATTTCTGTAAGAAAGCATTTTGGAGACAGTGACCAGAATTCAGTTAGACTTAGAATTGTTATGGGAAAAGGATATGGGTGGGCTGGGAATAAAGTTCTAAATTGGGAAAAGTCAAACTTTACTTGGATAAGATGATTTGATCAATGTGGATTGTGAGCAACTACTTGTAGTTAAAACTGTGTCAGAGCAGTGGCAGGTATTCAAGGAGGAAATAGCAAGAGTACAAGGCAAATCTGTTCCCATAAAGACAAAGGTGAGACCAAGACCGGAGAACTCTGGATGTCATGGAACATAACAGTTAGGATTAAGGAAGAAGCTTATTGCAGATATCGGGGATTCAATATGGCAGAGTCCCTAGAGGGGTATAAAAAGTGCAGGGGAATTTAAAAGTAAATTGGGAAAGCAAAGAAAGTTCATGAGAGGGCATTGGAAGGTAGAATAAAGGAAAATCCAACGGGATTTTCTAAATACATAAAAAGCAAGAGATATAAGAGCATAAAAAGCAATAACTAAGGAAAGAGTGTGATTCATTGGAGACTATTGAGGTAATCTGTGTGCAGACTCAGAAGGTGTGGATACAATCCTCAGTGAATACTTTACATTGAAGGAAAAGGATGAGCTGGCATAGGTATTAGCATAGAGGACTGTGAAGTATTAGAATAAACTAATATATTGTGAGAGAGACAGAAGGTGCTAGAGAGTTTAGCAGCTTTAAAAATGGATACATTTGCAACCCTGGCTGAGATACATCCATGGCTGTTGAGGAAGGCAAGGGTGTTTATAGTCAGGGGCCCTGGGCAGTATCCTCTCTAATCCCTGAAAGTAGCAGGGCAGACAGATACGGTGATTAAAAAGGAATTTGGGATATTTTGCTTTATTGGCTGAGGTATAGAATACCAGGTTGCATGTAATTGCATTAGAGAGTATGCGAAGGAGATTAGTGAGAATATGATCTGGACTGGAGGGTTTGAGGGATGAGAACGGACTGGATAGACACAGAAAGAGAGGATACAACTGATCAGAGAGAAGCTCTAGGAATGCTGTCAAGGCGATTTTTTTTTCTCCCATTCTCCTGTCCTACTGCATGGTGAGGTAAGGACAGAGGGTTTCATGCATTGCCATGTTCTGGGATCAGGTTCTCAGTCAGAGCTTCTTGTTCCTTTGAATGATCCTTTCTCTGTGACCTGGCTGTCACTTGGCATCCAGAAAAGGTGGTGATGAGCTAATTTCTTGAACTGGTGCAGTCCTTGTGGTGTAGATTCACAATGCCATTGGGGAGGGATTTGCAGAATTTTGACCCAGTGACACTGAAGGAATGGTTATATATTTCCTAGTCAGGATAGTGAGTGGCTTGGAGGGAACCATCCAGGGAGTGGTGTTCGCATGTATCTGCTGCTCTTGTACTTGTAGATGGTAGAGGCTGTGAGTTTGGTCCAGTTGAATGATCCTTGGTTAGTTGCAAATGTGCATGTTGTACATAGTATGCATGTCTGCTACTGAGCATCAGTGGTGGAGGGAGAGAATGTTGAAGGTGGTGGATGGGCTTCCAAACAAACAGCTTGAAAAGATTTGGGGGATAAGCTGATGAGCTGAGATGAAGCTAAATGTGAGGTATCCGTTTTGGTAGGAGAAACAGGAAAGCAGGTTATTATCTGAATGGTGATAGATTGGGAAAGGGGCAGGTGCAACAAGACCTGGGTGTCCTTGTACGCCAGTCACTGAAAGTAGGCATTCGGGGCAGCAGGTGGTGAGGACGGCAAATGGGTAAGTTGACCTTTGTGAAAGGATTTGAGTACATGAGAAGAATGCCTTGCTGCAACTGAATAGTGCCTTGGCAAGACCAAACCTGGAGTATTATGTGGAATTTTGATGTTCTTGCTACAGAGGGAGTGTGGTGAAGGTTTACCAGATTAATTTCTGGCATGGCAAAACTGACATATGAGGAAAGACTAGATCAGTTAGGACTATTTTCACTGGAGTTCAGAAGAATGAGGGAGGATCTCATAGAAACTTAGAATTTTCTAACAGGACTAGAACTAACCACAGGAAGGATGTTCCTGGTGACTGGGGAGTCTAGAACTAGGGGTCACGTTATAAGGATATAGTGGGGAAACCATTTTGGACTGAGATGAGGAGAAATGTCTTCATCCAGAGAGCGTGAGCCTGTAAAATTCTCTGTCACAGAAAGCAGTTGAGGCCAAAATATTGAACGTTTTCAAAGGAGTCAGATATAGTTCTTATGGCAAAAGGGTTCAAAGGGTATGGGGAGAAAGCAGGAACAGGGGACTGAGTCGGATGATCAGTCATGATCATATTGAATAGCACAGAAATCTCTAGGGGCTGAATGGCCTACTCCTGCTCCTATTTTGTACATTTCTAAGTTTAAAGAAGGTTTGAATGAAACAGATGTGGAGCATAAACCCATTACAGCTCAGTTGGACCAAACGTATTTTAAATTCTGCATCCTGTTTTTGTCAGGCTCAAAGTTTAAGGACTGCATCTGTTCCTGAATTTCTCCCTCTAACTTCTTTCTGAACCAATTTAGGAATCCAGCCATGAAACCCCATCTTCTCCACAAGCATCAAGTGTGAATGGAACTGACGATGAGAAAGCAACTCGTCCTCCTCCGATTGAAAGCCTCCTGAAGAATGACAATGACCGGATCAAATTAGTCTCAACTCAAGGGTGAGATGAATCGCTCCATAAAACAGGAGAGTGAACGACAGGGGATCAGTCAGGCCTGCACATGCCTGCAGCACGGGGTGCTATAAGAGGCTTTGCACAGTAATTACACACACAGGTACTGCTGGGCTGAGACTGTGCTGGTGGAGATTACATGATCTACTCTTTGTAGATCTTTGATCCTCTGCTTCATTCTGGGAATCCCATTCAGTGATTTGTTCCCATTCTGATCTCATAAAGACTTCTTGCTGATTTCTCCCTGATTATTGTGGAAGGGCCTCAATAATCAATCCTCAAGTACATTTGTGACAATCATCGAGAAACTCATTGTAAGTTTTTACCATCACCTTATTACTCCCAACAATAATCTCCCAATAAACTCTCTGGCCTTGTGAAAAACAAAAAAAAAACTAGTGCAGGTGCTGGAAATCTGACATAAAAACAGAAATTGCTGACAATACTCAGCAGGTCTGGCAGCATCTGTGGAGAGAAGCAGAGTTTAATGTTTCAGGTCAATGACCTTTCAACAGGTTCAGACTTTGCTATTTATTTCCTTTTAAATCAAGCAGCTGTTTCTTCCTGGAACTTGTGTATAAACGTCCTTTGAATCACCCACATATTGCTGAGAATTTCAGAAATATTCTAACCCTTAACCTGCTTGAGTAGAAATAGAACATAGAACAGTACAGGCCCTTCGGCCCACGATGTTGTGCCGAACTTTTACCCTAATCCTAAGGTCTATCTAACCTCCACCCCTACCTTATACTATCATCCATATGCCTATCTAATAGCCGCTTAAATGCCCCTAATGAGGCCGACTCCACTACCCTCTCCGGCAATGCATTCCACGCCCCGACCACTCTCTGAGTAAAGAACCTACCTCTGATGTCTCCCCTATATCTACCTCCACTCACTTTAAAACTATGCCCCCTTGTAATAGCTACCTCCACCCTAGGAAAAAGTCTCTGGCTGTCCACTCTATCTATACCTCTGATCATTTTGTACACATCTATCAAGTCACCTCTCATCCTTCGTTGTTCTAAAGAGAAAAGCCCCAGCTCTCTCAACCTTTCCTCGTAAGACCTTCCCTCCAGGCAACATCCTGGTAAATCTCCTCTGCACCTTTTCCAATGCTTCCACATCTTTCTTGTAATGAGAAGACCAGACACAATACTCCAGATGTGGCCGAACCAGGGTTTTGTACCGCTAGAGCATAACTTCACGGCTCTTGAACTCAATCCCTCTATTAATGAAAGCTAACACACCATACGCCTTCCTAACAAATCTATCCACCTGGGTGGCAGCCTTCAGGGAACTGTGGACATGAACCGTAAGATCCGTCTGCTCCTCCACACTGCCAAGAATCTTTCCCTTAACCCTGTATTCTGCTTTCAAGTTTGTCCTTCCAAAATGAATCACCTCACACTTTTCAGGGTTAAACTCCATCTGCCCAGCTCTGCATCAATGTCCCTTAGTAACCTAGAACAGCCCTCTGCACTATCCACCTTTCCACCTTCGTATCGTCCGCGAACTTACTAATCCACCCTTCCACTCCTACATCCAAATCATTTACAAGAATCACAAATAGAAGAGGACCCAGAACTGATCCTTGTGGTACACCACTCGTAACTGAGCACCATGTTGAATATTTTCCATCCACTACCACCCTTTGTCTTCTAAGGGTCAGCCAATTCTGAATCCAATCTGCCACATTTCCCCCTATCTCATGCTTCCTTACTTTCTGCATGAGCCTACAATGGGGAACCTTATCAAACGCCTTACTTAAATCCATGTATATCATATCCACTGCTCTACCTTCAGCCACATATTTGATCACCTCTTCGAAGAATTCAATAAGGCTTGTGAGGCATGATCTACCCCTCACAAATCCATGCTGACTATCACAAATCAAACTGTGCCTTTCCAAGTGATCATAAATCCTATCTCTCAGAGCCCTTTCCAATAATTTGCCCACCACTGAAGTAAAACTAACTGGCCTGTAATTTCCGGGATTATCCCTAGTCCCTTTCTTGAACAAGGAAAGTTGGAACACTCTCTGTCGCCTGCTCCATTTTCCCGTCCCATCTACACTTGTCTTATCATAGGCCACTCTGGATTCAGATCCAATCAGACATTGAAGATCAAACACTTTAAGTTCAATAGCACCCAAACATTTTCATGAATATGTCAGACTTCAGTGACTCGAAGCCCCTTGAATCTCTGTACTGAGTGTTTGGCTGTTGTGAATCTGCCTCCATGTTAATTATCCAACCTGTCCATCGTAGTGACCAGGCCCTGAGTGGTCTCTCTCGAGCATCAGAGCTCCTCTGCTGCCTAGACTGTGCCCTAGGTCCGAGGAGAGAGCGCGATGTGGACAGCTGTAGACCTGATCCTTTGATAATCTAATTGAGGATCCACTGGCCTTATTACACAGAGGGAATCGTTACAGATAAAGTGAATGCAGCTTGTACACAGTTTGCTGTGTCATACTGGGTCGGGTCCGCTAGGAACTTAGTTTGGAAACAAGAGGAATGAGGCTATGGGTGACAATGGCTGACGTTTAAAGCCTGGCTTGCTTTTCCTGTTGTTTTCATTCAGATCTGAATCTTTAGGGTGCTATAACAGATACTGAGAGTGCAGAAAGTGAGATTGAAGGGATGAAATTGTGACATGTTTTTCTCCATTTAGACCTGCTGCTGCCAAGAAATGGGAGCAGGAACTCCAAACCTTGGGAGAGAACAACGCTCGACTCAGTATTGCATTGCAGGAATCAACAAATAATGTAGAACACTGGAAGAAACAACTGTTGGCGTGTAAGGAAGAAGGAGAGCAGCTCCGGCAGAAGGTTAGTAATCGTGCTTTTGCTGATGATGGGGATAGAGATGGGTTGGAGATTCTCAGTTCTCTTCCTGTTCAGCAAAGTCTCCCTTCTAATCTATCAGTTTCACTGGCTGAGCCACTAAGGGAATTAAAAATTCATTTCCACGCTGTGTACTAGAGTAGAGGGGTGGGGGGGGGGGGGGGGGGGGGTGCATGGCCTTGCAATCCTGCTCAAAGCGAATAAAGACTAGATCTGAACCAGCTAAAGGAGCTTTCCTTCCTGTCAGCACTTGGTCTGAAACAACAGATCAAGAATTTCACTTGGTCAAAACTGGAAAAGTTCTGCTCTTTGTGGCTGATTCTGCAGAACCAGATGTTTCATGGCCCTCAGTCAGAGCACCGTTTGGAAATCCCTGTTTCTCCCACTTACAGGGGGGGAGTCAGCAATACCACTGAGCCCAGACCGAAGGTGAAAGATCCCCTCAGAGACCCACTAGGTCTTCGGGGGAAATCCATTTTCAGATATGATGATATTTTGTCACATCGAAGGGTTGTTGGGCTAAATGGAGGAAGAGTGGAGAACTCTCTGCAGTTTTGAATTGTTCTCAGAGAAAAATGAACAAAACCTTCTGGAGGTTTAAGCTGGGATCACAGTGGCCAAGCTACATGGGGAGTTTCCCAATCAAGTCTGTAAATGGAGCCATAAGAAACACCCACAGCTGCCAGTCATACTGTTCCAGAACATTCTGCAACTAGTTTTAGTGCTAAGCCTGAAGGAAACGGAGCAGGTGGTGAAGAGAGAACATGAAATGCTTTCCTTTACTCACCAAGGTATAGAATGTAAGAACAGGGAGATTCTGCTGGATCACGTAGAAGTCATCAGTTAAGCCACAACCTGAGCACTGGATGAAGTTATGGTCATCTCATTATTGAAAGGATGTAATTGCATTAGAGAAGGGACAAAGGAGATTTATAAGAATTTTGCCTGGATTAGAATGCTGTTGCTATCAGGAAAGCTTTGATAGACTAGGCTTATTCCCATTGAAACAGAAGGGGCAGAGTGGGGATTTGACTGAGGTGTAGGAAATTTAAGGTGCCTGGGTAGAGAGGATGGGAAAGACCTGTTTAGCTTCTCAAAGAAATTAGTGACTGGGAGGGCATAGATTTCAAGTGATTTGGTAGAAGGATTGGAGGGGAGATGGGGAAAATCTTTTTTCTTCAAAGGCTATTATAGTGTCTGGATTCACTGCCTGATAGGCATAAACCCCCAACTTATTTCAAAGTTGCCTGGATGTCAAACTCAGGTGCTATAACCTGCAGGGTTACAGACCAAATACTGGAAAGTGGGACTAGCCTGGGTGGCTCATCATTTGGCTGGTACAGATGTTAGGGACAGAATGCCATTTTCAGTTTCCAAACATTCGAAAAATCCAAAGAGGATGAATGTGCAGGGATGTGGGCAGGGCTGGGGCAGTATGTGAATTGCTCCAAAGGAGGGCCAACATGGACATGATGGGTTGATTGGCCTCCTATGCTGTAATAATTCGATAATTCTATCTGATGGTGAAGTTGATGTTCAGATGTAGTGAGGTTGGAAGGGGGCAGCTGGCAGTAATTACCCTTCAGGGAACTCAGTCCAAATTCCTGCCATATATCAATTCCCAACTTCAACTGGGGCTTTCCCGGAAGTTTTATCACATGATCGTCCCCGCCCCAAGCCCCTCTTCTGTCATTGGTCAGTTGACGCATGAGCAGACTCTTCCTCAGTTGATTCTGCCTGTCAGTCAAACAGCTTGCATCCCAGTCCCTCTGTGTTTGTCTCTCCACACTTACAGCCTGACCTGCTGAGTGTTTCCAGCATTTTCTCTTTCTTATTTCACATTTTCAGCATCTGCTTTATTTTGCTTTTGTCCTAAAATTTTATAGATGATAAAAGAGCTTATTGGGCAACATGGTGGCTCAGTGGTTAGCTCTGCTGCCTCACAGTGCCAGAGACATGGGTGCAATTTTCACCCGTGAGCAACTGCCTGTGTGGAGTTTGCACATTCTCCCTGTGTCTGCATGGGTTTCCTCCGGGTGCTGCAGTTTCCTCCCACAGTCCAAAGGCATGCAGCTTAGGTGGATTGGCCATGGGAAATTGCCCATAGTGTTCAGGGATGTGCAGGATAAGTGGATTAGTCATGGGAAATCCAGGGTTATGGGGATAAGGTTAAGGTGGTGGATCTGAGTGGGAGGCTCTTTGGAGGGTCAGGGTGGGCTCAATGGGTCGAATGCCCTCATTCCGTATTGAAGGAATTCTATGATTAACCAAAACATATACTTCTGTTAATGTTCCAGTGATTTGTTTAGGGTGAGGGTCTGTACCCAGTGAGCAAATCTTTAATTCCTTCACAACTAACATATCTCTCAATTGTTAGACTGCAGTGACTGCCATTTGATATTTGAGGATCCAGGTCAACTCAATAATTCTTCTAATGCACATTGGGTGAGATTTTAACTCATTGAAAATCCATCCCTTCCCACAGAGTTAAAATTAGGCCCAATGTGAAATACTTTTAAAAAAGTGACTGAGAGGAATTAGGAAGGTGATTTCCTCCTTTGTGATGTTTCCATCTCAAACCCTCAGATGATGGAGCTTGAGGCTCAGTGTGCTGACTTCAATCTGGAGAAAGAGAGGAACACACGACTGACTCGAACTGTGAAACAGCTAGAGACTGACATTCATGAAAAGGAGCAGGTTTGTGGTTTCAATCTCTTAACAGGGAAAGCTGTTTATGTGGGAGCATTTCACTTTGCCATCACCCCAGTGCCCAGGCCAGGACTAAACTTTGCTGGTTCCAGTAGCTGATCCTTATGATGGTGAGAGAATCCGTACAGGGTCTGTCTGTGAACACCCCTATAAAGGGCAGGAGCTGAAAGGTGTGAGATGTAGGAGCTGGTGCTAAAGTCAGTTAAGATGTGGTAGATAAGTTTCTGGTCTGTCACCTCTTAAACTGGCCCAGCACTGACAGACTGAACACTCTCTCACATGGTTGGAGGCTCTCAGTCTCACCCAATGGTGTTGGACCCGCAGCACAATGTGACTGCGCTGAGTGGGTGCTGTCCCCAGGTTGAAAGATGGGGCTGTCTAGCATTGTGCTGGCAGCTAACTGCCCCACATGGGAGGGAGAGTGTGTTGGGTGCTGTGTGAACATATAGAGAGCCAGGCATCTGTTTCCCCAGAATGAACTGTGGGGTGGTATTTCTGCCTGGGGAAGAGGGGGGTGGGGCGGGGTGTGGGGGTTGCTGTTTGGAGCAGCCATGAAAACAACAGACAGAATGGAATAAATTAATCTGCTGCAGATTATTGAGGGAAAATACTTTGTGCATTTCACGGAGGGGTATTCTAGGAATCAAAACTGTATTGAGTTTAATTTAAAGAATCTGCTTACACCCCACCAGCTTCCCGGCTCCAGTGTAATGTCACCACCAAACACATCTTCCCATCCACTCCCATCATTCCAATGGTTTTTGTCCCTCCACCAGCCCTGATCCACTTTTCAATGCAGTTCCAATATCTTGACTGTACCTTCCATTTTATTTCCTCCGTTACTATTGTCCACAGCCTCAAATACTCTGTTCAGATTAAACAGCAATTTAATGATGTTTCTTTCACTTAAGAAGCATGTGCTGACTCCTCAAAAAGCAGTCTCCTCTGCAAATGGGGAGACCGAGGGGAAACTCAGGTCCTGGTGCAATGCACCTTACCTTGGTGCAGCTGAGTGCCAGCGTGGAGCGGGACAGGTGTTGGACTGGGGACCTGGTACGGTGATCAGACCACATGCTGAGCTGCTGCTGTTTGAACTTCTTTACCAGACATGTCAATCCTTTATAATTCTGTAATAATTATCTTATTTCTAACTTAGTTTTTAGACAGCGTAAGTAATGCTATTTTTCCTTTTATTCCTGTTTTGTATCCAAGATTTGTATCTAGGTACTTGTACCTAAGATGGCACCATTAAAGGCAGCCATTGTAAAAACTTTTCACTGTACTCCTGTACTTCTGTACTGGAGTACACACGACAATAAAGGATATTCTATTCTATTCTAAATGTAGGATGGGTGATCGTTTATCAGGACTCCTCCATGCAGGAGATTGTGTTTTAGATCAACTGTTATTTTAATTAGCCCAGATTTACCCTAATGAAGCTCAGCAGCATCTTAAAAAAAATAGTTCCTCATCTTTAGATTAGACCTGCTACAGCCTTCTAGATTCAACACTCGGTTCAATTATTTCACATCATAACCATTGCTCCCATTTGTTCAGAAAACAGGTGTTTGTTCTGTCTTTGTCATTTTCTGCTTCTCGAGACTCACCATGTTTCTTTCTTATTGCCCTCTTTCACGGTGCACCATCAGTCCTCTTGGCATTTAATTGCTGCTACCTTTCACTCAACCACACAACATTTCTTCTGTCCTTTCCATCCCCCATGCCCCTCTTTATCAAACACTTGCATAAATTTTGAATTCTAATGAAAGATCACAGACTGGAAATATTAACTGTTTCTCTTTCCACAGGTGCTGACTGACCTGCTAGACATTACTGCACTGTTTTTATTTCAGACGAAGAAGAACGTTATGATGATTGGCTAAGACTTGATGTTTGATGGTTACTGATCTCAGAGTAATAGTTCCATCAGTTTATATTCTGGAAGTTTCCATGCAACCCAGGAGCATGTGATTACTGTGATGCTAAGTTGTTTGTGGAAAAGTATTTCTGTTTTTGTTTTCCCCACAGGAGTTGGAGAGGCTGAGGGAGGAGGCTCAGGTCATTCCCCAGCTCCTGGCAGAGTGTGAAGCTTTGAGGGAACGTCTCCAGGTAGAGTGCGTGTGTTTAGTGGCGGGTGGGCAGTGTCCTGAGGCCAATATTTATTCCTCAGACAACATCAAAACAAGCTGCTGTCTGTGGGATCTTGCTGTGTGTATCAATTGACTGATGTTTTCCTACAACAGATATTGCATTTTGAAAGTTATGTATTGCTGGGAAGCTTATGAAACTTTCTATAGTAGTACAAACCCTTTCCATTTTTCTCACAGCCACAGGCAGCAACAGCTACAATTCTGTAACAAGCAGCATGATTATCACACTGCTCACACTCTGTCTCTGTCTGTCTCTGTCGCTTTCTCTCTCTCTCTGTGTCTATCTTTCTTCCCTGCTGTGGTTCGAACTGTATGTTAAAACTGAGCTTTTTTTAAAATGCCCCTTACTTGGAGTGGGTTTACATTTTTCCAGTGTCAATGTTGGCTCCTGATGGATGGTACTCTGTGGGTTATGGGGTGCCCGAGGTAATAATGATCACAATTAATAAACAACAAGCTGACCTAGAAAGTAAACACATCCTGGAGGTAAATTTGTTTTGAATTCTTCTGTGATTAAACTCAAAGCTTTTGTTGGTTTTATCGTGACTGTGTTCCCAGATCTTTCTCACAGTCAGACCTGTCGCCAGAGAAACGTAATATTCAGGATGTCCTGCGTCCCTGCCCCAGACACTGCCGTAGATAGACGCTGTATCCCTCCACAATGTTATGGTGGTGTAATGGGAATGTCACTGGTTTAGTACCTACAGCCCCAAGCTAATGCTTTGGGGATGTGATGCTGAAGTTTGAATTCATTGAAATATCTGGAACGATGACCATGTAACAATGATAAATTGTCATAAAACTCTGGCTGGTTAACTGATGCCCTTTATCTTAGGAAAGGAACTCTATCCTTTGACTCACAGCAATGTCATTTCTGAAATGGCCAAGCAAAACCACTCAGTTCAAGAGTACGATCCTGGCAGCGTCTCTTACTCTCTTGTCCTCTCTCTGGTTTCAGACTGCAGAGAGTACAAACAAGGAGCTGGAAAACAAAGCAAACTCATTAAAGACAAATATTGAAGAAAGTCAGCAGAAACAGAGTGATCTGAAGAAAGAGTTGACAACATTTCTGGAAGTTCTGGATGGAAAAATTGATGAGCTTCATGGATTCCGACAAGGCCTGGCCAAATTGGGGATGGACAATTGAGGATGGGGCGGGGTTTGGGGGGTGACAACAGAGAGTGACATCTGTAACATCGAGAAGCGGGTAAGGTTGGGGATGGGAGGGGCTTGATTGGGTCATGAGGGCAGGGGCTGGAGGTTTATGGGGGATTCAAAGGTGGAGATTTGGGGATGGACAGAGTGACTAGTGTCCTTGACCTGACCCCTGACCCATGAGCTAAAAATACCTTTAACCTGGTTAAAGCTGGAGAGGGAGATGAATCTGCAGCAAATTCAGGTGAGGCTGCTTTAAGCACAAATTTCCATTATTTCAGCCTAATACAAATGATCGCATCAATAACTGAATGCTAAGTGTCTGTGTGCAAGAAAAGCAAGTAATTGATGTGGGAATGAATTCCTTGCTAACTCAATCCGCACATATTCCTGGAAATTTGGTCATGTGATCACCTGGCCAAACCCTCTTTTGACACCTTGCTCACCTTTTATAAATAATTAACCAGATCTGTTAAGAAAATGACAAAAATACAATTTTATGAGCTCTCTCCTGAGTTTCTGCACACTTGGAAAATGTACCTTTGATTCCTAGAGATTTCTGTCCTGAACCATCAACTAGGCCAAGTGGGCATAAGGGTTTGGAATTTGAAGTGTATCGTTTGTGTGATCAGTTTTGAGCAGAAACTTTCATTTTCTGATTGTACAAATGATGCTGAAAGCACAACTTGAGAGTATTTGGAGAGTTCTGGAGAACAGAAAAACAGGCTGCGGATTTGAGTGTGTTTTTAATGTTTGTTTCTTATTGACAGGAATAAATGTTGACATTATATTTTACAAGTCTGTTTAGTTCGGGTTTCATCATGCAGTGTGTGTATATACATAGTGTTGGTGCATTTGGGACTGGGCTGAGAAACTTGGAAGGTGGATTGTTCTTGTGCTGAGTCCTGCCTTTAATTGGTTAAATGCTTTATTTAAAAAGCTTTTCAATAGGCTAAGTATAGTGGTTGGACCATTCTTGATTCTTTACCAGCAAGCAGTGGGAGGCTGCTGAGGAAGCTCAGTTCTAATCCAGGATTGTGTAGGTGCTGATTCCCTGCGGTGATTCAGTGCATAACTGATTCACTCAACACTCCTCCAGTAACAAACAGGTGATTCCAGAAAAGGCTGAATATTAATTCCTGTTTCAGCCTCTTATCACAGAAAACCAGAAAATCAACTGAGGTGTAAACAAAATGCTACACTTTGATAAGTGCAGACATCCTCAAGACTGGGACTGGAGGAGGAGACAGAGATAGGGAGGGGGTGTCGGGGCTGGAGGAGGCGACAGAGATAGGGAGGGGGTGCAGGGGCTGGAGGGGGCGAAAGGGATAGGGAGGGGGTGCAGGGGCTGGAGGGGGCGAAAGGGATAGGGAGGGGGTGCAGGGGCTGGAGGAGGCGAAAGAGATAGGGAGAGGGTGCAGGGGCTGGAGGGGGCGAAAGAGATAGGGAGAGGGTGCAGGGGCTGGAGGGGGCAA